AGTAAATCAAACTTGAAACTCCTAACTTGAGTCCTTGTAAAGCTCGAATTTTTAAATAAATCATGTGAGTATTGTCTTAACATGACATAATCAACTTAGCAAATTAAAAAAAAAAAGACACGAGATTAGAGGTAATTTGGACAAATGTTAAAAAAAGGGTTTGACTTATAAAAAAAATATTTGAAGCTCACATCGTTTTTTTTAATATCAAGATAATGATGTATTGAATTGATTGCGATTAACCAAGGTTAATTCTCGGGAACTTGGGTTACGGATTCAAATGCGTTCAATATTAAAAATCAATCTAATATTAAAAAAATAAAATTTAAAAAAAACAATAAAAAAATATTCAAACACTCAATGTTGAAGTTTTTTATACAAAAACGCACACAGACATGAGTGGCCAAATATACCAGGGCCTTAAAAAAGCCAACCATCATCACACTCTCCTCATTAAATAGACTCATTGACATCAAATTTGACTTTTTTTATTAACGACATTGTGACAACCAATTATTTTTTCTCTCTTTCATGTATTTTTAATAACTTTCTCTCTCATCTCTCTAGCATAGAAATTGAAAAATGAACAAAATAAATTTTTGATTTGCAATAAAAATTATCTTCAATTAAAGATAAGCCATGTGTTTTCTCCTTATTTTAATTCAGAGCTTAATTTCATATAATCAAACAATTTAAAACAAAAAAAAAAGTTTGAGAATAAAAAAAAATTGAATAGGAGGTTCACTATTCTAGGTGATATTTTTTAAAAATAAATATTGAGATGGTAATATATTAGATCAATATAAGTTAACTTACCAAACCATAATCTAAATAATAAGATTGTGATAACACTTTAAAAAAAATTAGAACAAATTAATCCTATAGAAACCAAACTGAAACATATTATGAAAATCAACTCCAAATAAATCAAATGCTTTAAAAAATAGATAATTCAAGATGGCATTAGCGTCTTTTTTTTTTTAATATTAAGACAAGAACATTTAATCAACCTGGGCTATGCAGCTTAAATAGCAAAACTCGTGACTTATGCCATGAAATTAACTAGTTCAATAACTTTATTTTTAAACAATTATATGATAACAAAAGGAAAAAGAAAAGAAGAAATTAAAAGGATGCAATTGATAGGAAAAAATAGAACAAAGTTTACCCAAAAAAAAAACCTTGAAACAAACAAAAAAGAAAAAAGATAGAAATAAAGTTTGCCGAAAGAATTAACAAAGCCATATTCAAAACTTGGTGGCAAACCTTAGGAACACATATTAGCCACTCCACTAAAAAAATATTTTTTTTATGTCTACCACCACCATTACACTCTCCTTGTTAAATGGATGTCGTTGACATCAAATTCAAATTTTTTTTTTAGAATCATGACAACTAATCATTTTCTTTTTTTTTTTACAGTTTTTCAACAACTTTTTCTCTCATTTTTCTAACATAGAAATTGAAAAATAAACAAAATAAACTTTTGGGTCAAAAGCAAAATTATCATGAATTTAGGGTGAGCCATGTATTTTCTCCTCATTTTAATTTGGAGTTTAATTTCATGTAATCAAAGTGTAAAATGATGCACTTGAAAAGCAAAAAACGTTTAAGGAAACAAAAAAAGAAAACGGGCAAAAGGATAACTATTCTAGGAGATATTTTTAAAATATAAATATTAAAATGATGATAAATTAGATTGATCTGAGTTAGCCTATCAAATCACAATCCGGGTAATAAAATTATGATAATATTTAAAAAAAACAAATTAGAACAAATTAATCATACAGAAATCAAATTAAAACATATTATTAAGATCAACTTCAAATAAATCAAATGCTTTAAAAAAAGATAACTCAAGATGATATCTGGTTTTTTAAATATTGAGATGAGAATATTGAATCAACTCGGATTATGCAAAATTCGTGATTTATGCTATGAAATCAATTAGTTTAATAATTTTATTTTTTAAATTATATGATAATTTAAAAAAGAAGTTAAAAGGATGTAATCAATGAGAAGGAAGATAGAACAAAGGTTACCCCAAAAAAAAACTTGAAACAAGAAAAAAAAGATAAAAGTAAAGTTTGCCAAAAGAATGAACAAATCTAGGTTCGAAACTTGATGGCAAATCTTAGGAACGAGTACGAGCCGCTTAGCCAAGAAAGCATTTCCCTTACGTCAAATTAAGCTCTTTTTAGCATTTCAAAAAAAAATTTAAAAAAAATTAAAATTTTTAATTTTTTTAATATACTATTATAAAAATTATTTAAAAAATATTCATTACTCTCGAGACAACCTGCAATGTTGCACTATTGACTGCCTTCGCACAGCAGGAGAATTAACTGAGAACCCATTACTGTCTTTTGCGGTCGAGAGGGTGCAAAATGCAATTCAAATAGTCAGTGAGGACTTCATCGATTAATGGATTGACGATTTTAAAGCGAATACAGCAACACCTTCTTTAAAGTCCACGTTCTGTATTCCTTTATTAACTATTTAATTCGTTCTATATCATGGATTATAATTTTTTATATAAAAAATACTGGATATACAAGTTATTTTAATATATATTTTTACATACAAAATTTAAAGTATAAATTAAAAAAACTAATGCAAACATCTAATTAAATAAATAATTAATTATTTATGAAAATAAATAAATAAAATCATTAACAACAACTAAACAACTAAAAGAAAAATTGAAAAAATTGAGAGATGAAAGTAAATCGAGATATTCAATTATATAAAATGAAATATTCATTCAATTATATTTACTGAATTTTTTTATTTAAATCAATAAAAAATAATAAAATTAGAAATACAAATAAAATCGATTGAATAAACTCACAACCTAAAAAAATATTACACTAGGGCGAACATATAAGAAATATTATTTAAAAATAAATATTTTTTATTTTTAAAGAATAAATTTTATTTGTATAAAACCAAAAAAATATAGATGAATTAAAATAATATCTTCAAAAATCAAACATAAACAAAACAATTTTAAAAAAAGTTCTATCCAAAAAAGGTATGCATAACCCATGACTTAGTTCATGATACTAGAATAAACCCATAAAAAAATAAAACATAATCACAAAACCAATATTAAAAAAAATTAATGCAGAATGATAAAATTGTAAAAGAAACTGAAAAACAAAAAAAGAAGGAGAAGATATCAAACAATATTAAATTTTGAAACTTATCACTTAGGTTATTAGATTGGAAGTGTTAAAAAAAATGAAGTTGAATTCCCAACAAATCAAACATTAAAAGAGAAAACCAGAAAAAAAAAAATCAATGACATAAAAAAATCTAAGAAAAAAATATTAATTAAAAGAATAAGGGTGAAAATAAAAAAATAATTTGAGAGCAAATAAAAATTTTCAATTGGAGAGTTAAGTTGAATTGAAAAATATCTTTAACAAAAGAAAAAAAATCAAAAAATAGGGATCAAATTGAAAAAAATAAAACAACATAAATTTTAATTAAAAGATGAAATTGAAAGTTAATAAAACTTTAACAAAAACACCAAAGAAATAAATAAATAATCAAAAGAAAAGGACCAAAATGTAAAAAAAGGAAGAGAAATTGTAATTGAAGATTTAAATTGAAAATAAACAAAGCTTTTATAAAAATAATAAAAACAAAATAAAAAATAAAAAAATAAGGACTGAAAATTGAAAAAAGCAAAAACAAAGAACTTTAATTGAAGGATGAAATTGAAAACAAATAAAATTTTAACAAAAGAAACAAGGAAATAAATTAAAATTCAAAAGAATAAAGACCCAAATAAAAAAAAAAAACATATGAGAAATTGTAATTGAAGGACTAAATTGAAATAAACAAAACTTTTATAAAAAAAATAAGAATGAAATAATAAATCAAAAGAATGAGAATTAAAATTCAGAAAACAAAAAGAATAATCGTGCATTTACCAATCAGAAAAGAGAAATGAAGAAAAAAAACAATCGTCGATGACTATTTGACCATCATATACCATCACATGCCATATTATAAAGAAAAAGACATGGCGACACTTCTAAAAACACGACGGAAGGTCATGTTTAGGCATGTTTATCTTAGGATAAAAAAATATTTTTATTATTTAAAAGCCAAGTGGTGCCGCATACGCTGTCCAAGTGGTGCGAACACCAAAAACTCATTAGCGCTTGATGAACATGTGACAGTAGCTTTTCTAAATAAACAATTAAAAAGTATGCGTGAAAAATGCCAAAACACCCATGAGATTGGTAATTAAAAAAAAAAACAGTGTGAAAATACAAAAGTATCCCCAAATACAAATCTTTTTTTTCTTTTTTTTTTTAAGGTTAATAATGTATTTTAACTATATAAGAAGAAGGAAAAAAACCCTTAGCCAACAAACCAATTTTTTTATCTTAGGATAAAGTATTTTTATTATTTAAAAGCTTTTGAAAAGTTAAAAAAAAATCCTTAATAAACAACTCCAAATTTTACTGGGTTTGAGAGTGGAAGCATGTTTTTATTTTATAAAAAATTAAAAAAACTAAAATACCCCCAACAATTTTTTAATGGTTAACAAGCCAGTAGAAAAAGACCACAGCACCCTACTCTCATAGCTTCTTCTTTTTTCCACCCAATGATAAAAATCTAATTTTATTATAAACTATATCTGTTGTTGCAATAAAAAACCAATTCAATATATATTTTAGATAAATAGACATGACTTTCGATTGAGAATGTAGAATTCGGACGGGGAGAAGCAATATAGTTCGTACAGGCTGCCTTGTGTCTTCCTGACGGAAACGAGAAAGATGGAATCAAATTGGTTTTGGGAATGCCGGTAATGGAGAGCTAAACTGAGTGAAATTAGGGCTTATCCACGAATTCTACCAAAAGAGCCTCTCTGCAATGCCATGAAGGTCTTCCAAGGGCTCGACGCAAGTTGCCAGAGTGAGTTCATCATCAATTTATGAGATGAAATCCTGAACATTTCCTACATCCACTACGTTATTTCTACAAATTTCCTTCGCATTCATGAGAACTTCAAATTTGTCATTCATAGTTGACGTACGAATAACAGTATAGGAGGGGACTATAAAATTTCTGCAGTTCTATTCGATCATCATGAGAAACGAATTAAGCTTTTAGCACAAGAGTATCCTTCAAGCAGTTTATCTGCAGCATAGAGAGTAATGTTCCGGAAAAAAGACTGGAACCCCGCCCCGAATGCAAGGTCTGGCGTCGAATTTCTTTCCCCTTCCTGTTCAGCTCTGCAATCTGTGCATCAGGCAAAGACAGCTTCAGACCATCTTTCAACTCAATTGGATATTTTACAGTCACGTAGATTGATAAAAGCTTATGACCTGAATTTTAATCGTTCTGTTACTCAAAATGCTCTCCTTTCATTGTCGATGAATTCAAAGAGGCTCACCTGTTACTTTAGCATACCATGTATTTAAAAGAAAAAACTTCCAGAGGCTCAGTAAACCTGCCATGAGCATGCAAAATCATCAAATAGAGCTCTTGGCTACTCATGAGTCATCACCGCTGAGATCTCCCCATCGAACATTGTATTTCGCAGCAAGATAATGTGCTCCAACTGGACCCCTGCTGCCATGGGGGTACAGCTCTGGAACTATTTTCTTCTGTTCCAGCTCCTTCAACACTGGTGTGAATAGTGCCCAAGCAGCATCAAGCTCATCACTTCTGATAAACAACCTTCTCTCTCCTGCTATGGCATCTAAAAGTAGCCTCTCATATGCATCTGGTATTTCTCTTGGATACCTTCGAATTGAAACATAAGCCTTAATAATCTCACTGATAAGGTATTCTAAGATGTCACTTTCAATTATTTTCTTGATCTTAACATGTTTTTATTTTTAATCACATTTGTAAGTGGTTGAGTTTTGGTACTATTTCTAATCAAGAAACTCAAACAATGTACCTTGCACTGTAAAGCAAATTAAGATCACTGCGATCTAATCTCATTCCAAGACCAGGAACTTTGTTGTTTATCTTCAGATATATAGCTTCATCAGGTTGTACACGTAGCACTAGCTCGTTTGTAGCCTTATCTAAATCAGTTCCAAAGTTCCGCTTGTACAAGTTACCTGGGACATGTCTGAACTGCACTCGGACCTCTGCTCTGGAATGTCATAGGACATATTGTTAGAATATTTGGAGGGAGAGAGAGAGAGAGAGAGGGGACAAGTGGTGAGGGCAAGAATATTTTTACTACCGCCTGGTATGAAGAGCTTTGCCTGCTTTCATCAGAAAAGGAACTCCATCCCATCTGGCGTTATTGATGAAAAGGGCTGCAGCTGCAAATGTTGGAGTACGGCTATCTTTCGGCACAGTTGGATCATCTGTGTAAGCAGGGTACGATCTATCACTCTTGCTGTGGCCCTTATATTGGCCAACAATTACATCTTCAAGTTGCAGTGGTTTCATTGACCTTAAAACTTTTACCTGAACAAGGCCATGGTTATTCAGTTAGTAGATCACAATCAACTCGTAATAATTCCACAAGAATGATATCTCAACTGTGAGTACCTTCTCATTCCTAACGTCCTCAGCATCTAAGCTAACAGGCGTTTCCATGGCAAATAGTGCTAGTATTTGCAGAAGATGATTTTGCATTATGTCTCGTATGATGCCATAGTTATCAAAATAGCTGATCACAAGAAAGAATATAGTTAAGAAAAATTCCATTCTTGAAAGAACAATATTAAAAAAGATAGTGCAATCATGATCGCATTAGGTAGCATATGTCTCTCACCCTCCACGACCTTCTGTACCAAAATCTTCAGAAAATATCAATTGCACGTTGCGGATGTAGTCCCTTGACCATAAGGGCTCAAAAACAAGATTTGAGAAACGAAGCACTGACAGATTCTCAACAAGCTCCTTTCCCAAGTAATGATCAATCCTGCCAAACTTAAAACATAAGCAGACTTATCTCTCCAATATTATGGATATTTCTATTTCAAAAGCAATTAATGAACCTGAATATTTGATCTTCAGTTAGATACTGCTTCAAACATCTGGTTAACTCGCCAGAGGACTCTGAGTCACGGCCAAATGGCTTCTCAACAATGACCCTTGTCCACCCATTCAATGAAGAAGCTCTAAGGCTGGCACTTCTTACCACATCCACAAATATGTTTGGAGGGATTGACAAGTAAAACAGCCTATTTGATACTTTTCCAGCCTGAAAAGAGCATTTCATTTTTCAAAAAATAGGTACTTAATAATCAACTATCTAACATGCCAAACATAATGTTAAATCAACAGTCGTGCCCACTGTTATTATATATATATATATAATGAAAATTCAACAAAGAACAAGTCTGTCAACTATTCAATTCCAAGGGGTTCCCATCAAATCAGAAATAATACTAATTAGGATCCTTAAATTGTATTGGAGACTTCTATCCTAATTCCAGCCAATTTAAAAGTCCATGCAACAATCATCCTGCTTTAGTTTGAGCGGACATGAAACTTCAGGTAATTGTTATCCTACTAGTAGGTTGAAATGAAGTCGATTTTCATTTCTTGTTCCACAACTGTACATATGCAACACCATCTCAATTAGCAGCTCGAAGTTCTTGAGATATGATGGGTTCCCAGTGTGAGGGTTGTAATGAGAATTGGACACCTTCTTGTAATTGTCATATGGTGCAGCAGGATTTTAAATACATGATATTGAGATCAAATCACCAACCAGAATAACTAAATAGACTACGTAATATTTTGTGCAGAATTTTGTACTAGTAAATATATGATGATTCTGCAGTCAAATGTCTCAATCCCCATTGCTGGTCATTCAATATAGTATAAAAGCTTATGACTTCATTCTGAATCCCCTAATTGAATCCTATCGCTGGTGTAATGGCCAGAAACACTTTCTGTGCGTAATGCAACAGGTGATATGAAACATACAAGACACTATCAATTAAGATCCCGCAAAAAAAGGCAAATAACCTCTTTCTCTTTCAGCTTGCTGTCCAATTCTGAGAAATCTCCCTCTGAGTCATACTGACCCGCATGGTAAAAGCATCTTTTCAAGAACTGATCCATTTTGTCTTCACAATTTTCCCTGCAAATGCTCCTAGGTGTTAACATTTAAATCGAAAAGAAATAGAAAAGTAAGGTCTGGCAAGGTAGAAAACCTCTGGTCAATTCTGCATGTCAATGTTCTGCTTATCGTATTCCTAAGCTCCTCATCAGTCAGTTTTGTACGAGCATAACCAAATACTGTAAAGTTCTTCATAAGAAAAATTAAGTGAAAGATAGATTAGAAATTGCCGAACACCATTCTGCCGTTGGAAAAAAACAAAAAAAAGAGAGAGTTCTAATCTGGAAAAAAAAAAAAAAGTTCCGTCAAAAGCAAAACGTGAAACCTAATAACGAAATGAAAATAGAACCTCGGGAAGCCAATCTTCATAAAAAAGAGCAAAAAGTGCAGGAAAAATCTTCTTCTTTGCAAGGTCCCCTGAAGCTCCAACAACAGTAATGCTGAGAGTAGACTCTTCTTTCTCTGCTTCTGAGATTGGAATGGAAGGCTTCTCTTTTCCTTGAGACTTGTCATGTTCTTTGGCTGTAAGACTTCCATCTAAACCTATTCCAAAATCTCTCCTAAGCATCAGAATGAATGACTGAACACAGAACAGAAGGGAAATGTAGACGTTTGAGGTATAATCAACATGCACAACTTTTTGGAAGGTCATAACTATATGACCTCTTAGCTACAATAAGATAGGAACCATATACTTTGCAATGCGCATGATTAGATTAGGTTAATCAAGTTTCTCAATGTCAAAAGCTCCTTAATTTTTTCATGTTGACAGTAAACTAGTTACTTTAGACAATGTGTAGTTTATTTTGACCCTAGCTTTTCACAATCAGTCTTTTCAAACACTTGCACATAAGAAGTTCTTCGCGCACAGTCGAAAGAAATTCTTCAGACAAGCTCATAACTCCTAAAACTAGCAAGATCATTAAAGTCAGTCATAGCTAAAAACTACTCTCATTTCAAAGTGAATTTATGGTGCGAAATAGCATCCTAACTCTTGCTACTTCAAACAAAATGCAACTAACAAGCAAACAATGAGATAGGAGAATCAAAGACAGCTACATTAAGCAGTAGGGATCAAGAACTGACCATCCTGCAAGGAGACAGCATTCAGAGGATGCCCATTTGAGGATTTGATATGGAAATGCTTTCTACCTTGGATTCTTGAATGAATCTGAGTTACCCAGGAGGATTTTCTTGGTACAGTAACAGCAAATCTACTAAACAATACTGTTGTCTCATTCTTGAAACAAGAGGATGGTAAGAAGTTTGTTGAAGAAGATGAACAAGGACTAAAATGTGTTGCCATTCAAGTTTTGATTGGGTCCTTCAAGCAAAATGAAGTTTAGCTTAAGCAAACAATAATGGGAATTATATTTGGTGTCCGTCTGAGTATATCCATTTTTTCTTTTGCTTATAAATCATCTCTTGGGTTGTTGAAGAGACCACGAGTTGCAACTACTTTTTGATTCGTTGATCCTGGATATGAGGTCCAGGATTTTCTTTTCCTTTCTTTAATTATCTCCTTCGACGACGTATGTTTCTAAATTAATAATTATTGGGCAAACTTTAAAAATGATCTCGAGCTATATCGGTAGTTTCAATTTTATCCTCAAAGATTTTCTTATACCAAATTTACACTAAATTATCTCAATTAAGAACTTCCATCAATTTAAAGCTTTTCATCCAAAATGTACTCTCTCTTTTTTTAATTAAAAAAAGAACTTAATATTTTTTTTATCAGGTAATTCTAACGGAATTCCTTGATAAGATATCAAAATATTTTAAGAGTAAAATTAGTATAAAAATAATTTGAAAAACATTAATAATATCCAAATAGTTTGAAGATATATTTATAATTTTATTTTAATTATTTATAATTTTCTTTTAATTATTTCTCTAGCAAATACTAAATTTGTACTAAGATAATGTTAAAACAATGATAAATATTGTTTTTTAAAATATTTTTTTATTTGAAAATACATAAAAAATTAATATTTTTAAAATTTATTTTTAACATTAATATATCAAAATGATAAAATATAAAAAAAACATTTTAAATAAAAAATTATTTTAAAAAAAAAACACAACTTAAAAGCCAACATCTGTTGAAAAAATATAAATATGTGTTGTTAAGATAGGTTGTTGGGTACATAAATAATAATAGAACCATTTGTATTATATACAAAAGATAAAAGAAAAAAATACAATAGCAAGTTAATTATAGCTTATTCCTTGTAGTATAGCAAAAATAGTTTATTAACCATCATGGCTTTTGAAAAAGTGTATATAATTCTTATGTATTTAAATTTATTTTTAAAATTCTTTTGAAGGAATTGATTGAAATTTTAAATGGAATTCAAATTATAAAAAATGGATGAAATCAAATTAGAGGGTCGTTTTACTCTGTTATAATAATTCTAAATAAAAAATATCAAGTTTTGAGAAGTAGCTCAATTGATTAAGTCTTGAGTTTGTTTTTTAATAATCACTAATTCAAATCTTTTCAGGGCTACTGGAAGCTTACCTTATTATTATTAATTTCAGGGCTCCATGAGATTAATTGAAGTGTAGCTCAATTGATCAAGTTTTGGGTTTATTTTTCAATGATTGCTAATTCAAGTTTTCTCAAGACTTCTAAAAAATTACCTGGTTGTTAACTTCAAAATCCCATGAGATTAATTAAAATGCACGTAAATTGATCTAAAACTCATGGTTATAAAAAAAAAAAAAAAAACATCTTTCCAAAAATACTCCTTTCTCTTTTTCTTTGGAGCAAAAAATTTTATGAGCCACAAAAATACTAACTTGTGAATTGTTTTTCTTCAACATCACACATATTGGAATTAATAAGGAAATAGAACAGATGATGACAAACAAGGATCTTTATCATATAACTGTGAAACCAAGCATTGACGGGTCATTGCCATTCTTTTTTTTTTTTTTGATTTACGTGGGGTGTCCGGGCCAGCTTACGCGCACCACGACTAATCTCCACGGCCCACTGAACACCCTGCAAACCCAGCAGGCAGGTAAGGCAGCGCGGGGCTGACAGGTATGCAACTCCAAGGCTCGAACCTTGGGCAGCAGAAGGCGCAAGGCGCCTCCCACCGCTGGGCCAATGCCTTGGGTGCGGTCATTGTCATTCTTGATCATATCCATGCTGGAATAACAAGGTCATGCTAATGGAGAAGATGTGCAAACAACAAAGCTATAGTTTTTATCACATTTTAGTGGTTTTTGTCTCTGAAAGCACATCATCCTTCTTTTCTTGTTTTGGTTTAAATGGATAAATTGACATGTTTTTGTTAAGGATTGTTTAATTATGTATTTTAAAAGTGTTTTTGTAATTATTTTATTTTTATTTTCTTACATTAAATTAATAATTTTTTGATGTTTTTAGATTATTTTGATGTACTGATGTTATAAATAATTTTTTAAAAAAATATTATTTTAATACATTTCTAAAAAAAAACACTTTAAAAAATAATCACTATTACATTTTAATCAGAAAGGTGTGCAAACAAAGCTATAATTTTTGTCACATTTTAAAAATATCAAATTAGTGGCTTTTATCTCTAAAAGTTGTTCATCCTTTTTTTTCTTTTTTTTTTGCTAGTGAAACGACCAAAAAATTGATGTCTACTCTCAAGAGCAAGAGTGTCGAAGTAATAAATAACCTTGCAAGACTGGGGTCGAACCACAAGAAAGTTAATTGTATGAATTATAAATAATAGCAATACAACAACAACAACAAAAAAAAAATCAATAGTAATAATAATAGTAATAGTAATAATAATAATAATAAAAAAGAAGAAGAAGAAGAAGTTGATGAGAAATTTGAGATGGAAGATTAATGTAAAGATTAAACAATAATAACAACAATTGTCAAGGTTAGAGGATCCACTAATGGTATTTCAAACAAGTATAGTATAAAGTCTCATTACTCAAATGAAAACCACACACAAAGAAGGTTCCAATCATATTATAAATTGTTAGCATAAGTATATTAGTTATCTTATTTGAATAATGTTAATACTTGTAAATGTTGTTAGGTATTCATGATTATAACTTATGCTAACAACAAATCAAGTTTCTTTCATAGGATAGGTGTTGGTTATACCATACGGTTTGTACTATGAAAGTGTCAAGCATTTATTGTACCAAGTCTTATACAATAAATCTAGATTAGTCATTTAACAAGCAAAGTATTAAAGAGTGAACATGATAACAATTACAAAACATGTTAGTATCAAATATTAAAGTCTATGTTAAGTTTACACTATATTTATTCTTACACCATTATAGTTAACACATAATGAAAGAAAGAAATATAAATAAACAAGATAAGAACATAAATAAGATGAAAGTTAACTAAGTAAAGAAAAAGAATTGAAAGGTATAAGCAAGATATTAATAAAAACAAAACTTAAGCATTACAAAAATACAAAGAGAGAAAGTAAGAGCATGATCTTGATCTGGAAACTAAGATGCCTTAATGCACGAAAAATGCTTCCTTTTATAGATCAAAATTGAAAACTATTAATTTGATGACTAATTGATGAGTGGGTAGTCAACTCTTGACTTGGTGATAATCTTTATCTTCTCTTTTCTAAATAAAATGTCATTGATAATGTCAGAATTTGAACCAGACCAACATATGAAAGTTCTAGGAAATTATCTCAGCTTTCTAAAAAAAAATTAAGGTCATTTGGACTTCTAAAACTTAAGATATAGGCTAAACATTGAACAGTATATGGATTATAGAACAGATTCAAAGTTCTTCATTATTGCTACAATTTAAACTTGAAAACAACTTTTTTAAAATCAGACCTCAACATAAACATTGTAGGCCTATGTCTTACCTTTACATCCATATAAAGTATACCTAAATCCGAGATCTATAACTCCAAATATGACTCAATTACTAAATAGTGTTCCGATTTGGACTGCACCAGCATCTCTTTTCTAAGTTTGGCCATCTCTTTGTCCTTTCAATTTTAGTTCTTAATCTCATCAATTAATCCTTTAATTTATGTGATAGGCCTGCATTTAAGATGAACATTTACCACAAATTAAAGATATCTTATATTGTTAGATATGTTATTATAAAACATGTTTTAGTTAACGAATTATTGATACTTCATGTGTAAAATGATGATATAAAACCTTGATAAAAATGTATTTTTAAGTACTAATCAGCTAATATGTTTGGGAGTGTGATAGCGGTTGCTTTTCAAAGTGTTTTTCATTCTAAAACACATCATAATAATATTTTTTAATTTTAAAAAAATTATTTTTGACATCAAAGCATCAAAATAATCTAAACATATCTAAAAATATTAATTTAAAGTAATTAAAAAAATTAAAAATTAAAATGATCTAAAAATATCATAAAAATATTAATTTAAAATAAATAAATAAATAATTTTTTAAAAAACTCTTCCACGTATCAAACACAGAAAGACAAGGTGGCACGCTTTGTAAGTAGATCGCTGCAAAACCACCATGGTTATGAAAAAATGCTTGGAAGATTCGTTTGCGAATATGATGGCAATCATGCCTAGGATGCTTGTATTGATCAACTAGGAGCAACATAAGCTAAAAATTGCACACAGAAGGACGTAGGTCTCTCCATTTTCGTCTTTTGACGAGACGTAAAAATAGTACAGAAGGGTATATATTTCTTTCGACATGCAAAACTCTACATCCAGGTTACTTACCATAATTTCACTGAAATGATCTTTCATAAAATAATTTATGGAATTTCTTTTTATATTAACAAAAGAATGTTTTTATGGCTAAAAAAATATTTTCTGATTTAAGAGTAAAATTACTAATTCAATTTAATTTTACAAGTATTACAAACAATATAATTTAATAATAATTGTAATAGATTATCAATTAAAATCAAATTAAATGTGAAATTAAATCTAGTTATACATTTGATTTAGTTTAATATATGCTATTTATAATCTTAACACCAACTTTAGCTTTTTGGCATCAATTTGAAGCTCATTTAGTAACTTGCTATTTGGAAAATTACCTAAATACTCAAAAAGAACTTGAGTTTTTTTTAATAATAATTTTTTTAATCATGCTATGCCAATGCAGTAACATAGCTAGAATGGTTAGCTTGCTAAACAAAACTAAGGTTCAGAAGTTTGAATCCTACTAGATAGATATATGACCTCTCACTTATTATTATTATTATTATGTAATAGTGGATGTCTGGCCTAAATTATATGTATTTTGGCTAATTTTTCGAGACCTTGAAGTTAACTATTATATAAGTTTTTAATGGCTATGAGATTTGTAAAACTCGAACTGATGACTTCTGGGAAACAAACTCAAAACTTGACTAATTGAGCTACATTTCTCAGAATTATTTGTCATTTCTTTTAAAATAAGGGGTGGACAGAAAAAAAATACAAAAATAAAATAGAGTTAAGAGAAAGGGGTTGGCCTCCAGGCCTGCAAAAGACTGGCTTGTTATTGAT